TCTGCAGGTTTGTTCGTGTTCCCTTCCTGCAGCGCGCCTCTGTGCGTCCGAGGAGACTCGCCCGTGGCTCCGCGCGCGTGAGTGCGGTGGGAAGAAGAGACCATTCCCTCGGCACAACATCCGCTTCATCACACACGCATTCGCGCAAGCACTCCGTGAAGTCCCAGGGTCAAATGTGAGGCGCATCCTGTTGTTATAAAGGTCTGGTTCTGGTGAACGGAGATGTCCAAAACAACGCGTATGGCTCAGATCCTCGGTCACACAAACCTCTATAATTTTTATCAGAGTTATGAAAATGATTGTTGTCATTTATAAGTTCATTTGAGTCCAGCAGCTCACACTTCCAGCAAACAATGGCAACGTTTTGCTGAGCGCGAAATGAGAAATCAACGCAAACTGATCCTAAAAATCTAAAAGCAACGTAAGCTACGTTCTGCTCGCAGGTCTTTGGAGACCTGATCCACCCCTCAGCGCCGCGGGTTTCTGTTTCCTGTTACGCGCAGCAATCCGTGACAGCGAAGCCACTAAAAAAAGTTTATTACAGACTGATTCTTAGCGCGCGCTGGACACCAAAACGGTTTTCAGTTCAGAGCTGGGATTCTTTCAAAGGAAACAAGAAATGTGGAAAAAAATCAGATGGATTTAAAACTTTAATCCGGTCATCAGACGTTCCACTCGCGCGAGGAGCTGCAGTTTAGATTCAAAATGAGATGTTTGTTGTTGTTTACATGTGTTGAGGTTTAAACTGGTGTTTAAAAGTTGCTGTTGCCCTTTTTCACGCCCTCTATCTGTTTCCGACACACACACACACACACACACACACACACACACACACACACACACACACACACACACACACACACACACACACACACACACACACACACACACACACACACACATTTCCTGTAAACCTGATAGACGCAGAGTTCCATGTGAAATCAGAACTTTTTATTGGTGTAAATAAAAACGAAACCCGTCCAGAGAGAACTCAGAACCAGAACCAGGCTTGTCCGGTCCCTCCTGCTTTCGCGAGTCTCCGGTTTGTTCCCTCAAAGTCTCCGCTGGGGAACGAAACGGTTCCGGTGTGTGTGTTTGCTGCCTGGAGTGGGATTAAAGTACGATTTTCTGACCCGGTCTGGTCTGATTGGCGTTCCGAGCCCACCCCCCGTTGATTAACGGGCCTAACGAGCCTATTACCCTCAGAGAACATCCCAGCGCACGCGGGTCTGTTCAAGAAAAACAGTTGTTGACGTTTAAAATTGCATTGATGATGAGAATGATTAAGTAGGAGAAAATAAATGTTATTTCATTTGTAGGCTTTAGATTTGATGGTTAATTTTGAGCTGACTTTATGTCTCCTTTGTGAGCAAAGCTCGGATAAATCTGCACACGTGCACGGTGCTGCTGTTGTCGACAGAATTAAATGCTAAAATGTGATAAAAAAAGAAGAAATGAAAGTGATTCTTTATGTTTTACTTTAGTTTTAAAACAGAAACGTAGCAGCTAAAATGTTACAATCCTGAGTGTTTTATATAGAAGCGGAACGTCAGTCCGCGAGCGCGTGCGCGCCGTGTGCCAGTTCCCCGTTGTCCTGTGGGAGGGGTGCTGTAGTAAGGAATGTGCGCAACGCACGACTGTGTGTGTGTGTGTGTGTGTGTGTGTGTGTGTGTGTGTGTGTGTGTGTGTGTGTGTGTGTGTGTGTGTGTGTGTGACACTGATGGATGCACCAATGGAAAGACGGACAGATGCTTGGGCGGATCTAACGGCAGGCAGCGGAGGAGCGGCGCGCACATTCGCGGTGAGATCAGGGGCGAAAACATCCTCGTTGTGCGGAGAAACACTGGCCAGCCACACTTCCGCCTGCGGAGGAACGCGTTGATTTGATCCGACACGAGCCCGGAGACAGAGGAAGAGCCGACCCGGCGGACGGCGCTGTTACTGCGGCTGCTGAGAGGCGAGGCGGTGCAGCGGCGCCACATCTGGCTCAAAGGGAAACCGGGGGAGAGATCTGTGGAAGACCGCTTACCTCCGTCGTTCCTCTGTTCCCTCCAGAAAAACCTTTGATCCATCATCGCGCCGCGCTGCGGTGAAGCGCGTCTTTCGCTCTGAGCGGAAACACAAAACACGAGAGAATCGTCACGTTTGACTCAAGGGGAGTGAAAAACTTTTATTACCTTCTAAAGTGAAGCACGGAGCGTAATGAAAACTCGCCAGTAGTCCGAGCTCCCAGCTTACCTGTGACGAAACAAATAAGAACTTTATTCCGCTTCAGGAAGATTTTGCGCCTGTCCCGCCGCTCACTGCGCAGGAAGCGCAGCCGCGCGGCTGATTTGCTCTCAGGCCGCGAAGAGAAGAAGAGAAAAGTAGATGAGCGGCCAGGAAGACGGCTGGCAGTGGGCGCTGGAGCTCGGCTGATCCGTGCGCTCCGCCGAACCGAACCGAGCCGTAGGCAGCCTGCACCGGAGCAGCCTGCTCCCATCACCGCCTCCTCCTCCTCCTCCCTCCTCCTCCTCCTCCTCATGTACATTATTACAACAAGGGAGACCCAATCAAGCACGTATCTCATCGATTCACACACACACACACACACACACACACACACACACACACACACACACACACACACACACACACACACACACACTGCGCCGTCGCACGTGCACGCGCGCTGACTGAATGACTTGCCCTCAGCGGATCTTTCAAAGCGCTCTTGGACAAAATAAGGCAGCCGCGCGCCAGCAGGGGCAACGTGTGGGCGCCTCCTCCTCTTCCTCCTCTTCCTCCTACGCTCTCGCTCCAGAGGATCAACAAACAGTCGCGTGGCTCCTTTAGATCATTTTCCGGATGTTTTGTGATGATTTCAGATTTTTTTTACTTGTGGAGTGTGAGGCAGCCGCCACACACCGGGAGAGTCCGCGGATAACGGGACAGCGGATCAGCCCGTGAAGTAAGTGCACGTTTCCGTTCCTGCTGTGTTTTGTGAGACACTTTTTCATGTTTGACCGCTGGTGTTACGCACGCTCCCGGGCTGGCCCGGGGTGGGGTGGGGGGGCTCGGTTTGGCTCAGCCGGCGGTGTTAATAATCAGGGTCTAGAATAAGACAGAGGATGTCAGAGGGAGAGTGAGAGGGTGAGATAGAGGGAGGGAGAGAGGGAGGGAGGAAGAACTACGTGACGCCTTCCAGCGCGGAGCGGTTGAACCGTGAGAGGAGGCGCAGGCTTTCAGTAGTGTCAGCTCTTGATGTGTGCGCCCTTGTTTTGCGGACTTTTGACTGACGCAATCATCTGGTTTTGTCCCCCAAAGCTCGCCTGTTGCAGCCTCCGACACCCAGCAGCCAGCAGGACCCCAGGAAGACCCTCAGCGCTCCCCTTTGTGTTTTTGTTTTGGTTTTCCTACCGCGGAGCTCCCGGTTCCAGCCTTTATCGCGTCCATCCGAACCGCAGCAGGCGGGAGAGACAGCGATCGAGTCCCAGACTGAGCCACGCTGGGTTTCCCCGCTCCTGCCCCCAGAACCCGGCTCTGCCTCCTTCAATTTGATTTCTGAAGAATCTGCTCCCAGCTCGAACAGCAGCCTGATCTATGCGGGAGCCCTGAGGGAGGCAGGGGGGGACACAGAGTATCGGAGCTCCCCGGATCCCCCACGCAGCCTCGGATCACCGTGGCCACAGACGAACTCCCCGCCAGGCCCCTAGAGCCGACATGCCGAGGAGGAAGCAGCAGGCGCCTCGGCGCGCCGCAGGTACGCGCTCCGTCAGGGTCATCCTGGTCTACATCCCAGATATTAGTCATTTAATCAAACCTCCGCCCTGTTCTTGTTATCATTCATTTACTGAACACATTATTTTATTCATGCAATAATTATTCATGTTACAGTCAGCTGATGCGTCTCATCACCACGCACACGCACGCTCACGCCACGCGTCTGTCAGGCAGGATTCCGACGATCTCCGGACTCAAGAGACTTTTTTAGGAATAAGCGTCACGAGAGGTGGTGTTGCTGCCAGGAAGTTGGCTGCTTCTTTTTCCTGCTTTGATTGTTTATAAATTTGTTCGATTTAGTAAAACGTGTGTGTGTGTGTGTGTGTGTGTGTGTGTGTGTGTGTGTGTGTGTGTGTGTGTGTGTGTGTGTGTGTGGGGAACCACATTCAGGCTAAATGAATTTACAAACTAGTGATGTCGTTTGCGTCCTGAAACGGAAGGTTGGTCATTTAATGTGACCCGGAAATGAAAGCATTTCCATATAAAGGTCACAGGTCATCTGGGACCATGTGTTCATTAAAAGGTCCCGCTACAGGCTCTTCTTGGAGAGCGATGCTCTCCTCGGTGGCATATCTGACTTTGGGATTATGGATCTAGCTCTCTGAGCCCATCACGTCTCTGCTGCTTGCCTCTTTTGCTGAAGTTTTCCTTTTTCAGCTTTGATTTTAAAGTTTTATGACATTCCTGCAGATAATGTGTTACTTTTATATCCGTCAACGTCTCACCAGCTTTATTAAATTATTGGATTATTTTGATTGGCATCACATAAAAACAATTCCTGGCTTTTTATCTCCTTTAACTCATTTTCCTAAGTCCGCTACACGCTTGGTTCCTGCGCCAGTTTCACGTCTGGGAAAGATTTCTCTCGTGGAATAAGGATTATTTCTGAGCTCAAGTGTAAAACAGAATACGGCTTTAATGGACAATCTTTGATTTGATGCCTGATTGGTCACCTGGCGGTGCCTTTGATCTGTTCATTCCCGTGTCAATAAATCAACGTTTTGTCCTTCTTCCCACTCGGATCCCCTTAGGAATATGATGCCTGCTAAAGCTTTTATCCTAATATCTCATTCTGACTGTTTTACTCTGTTGGCTGCTGGTTTCTGTCCGTCCACCCAGCTCGATTGTGCTGTTAGTGGTGGTGGGACCAGAGTGGTGATAAAACCTAAAAACTATCAGAGGAAGATGGGTTAGCTCCATCTGAGAGGCCGTCGCTGAGACTTTATTTCACTTTTGATTTAATTGTCTGCCCTCTGACAGCCACATTCATCAATGGCCCTAATGGTCAATCAGAGGCTGGCGCGCACGCACACACACACACACACACACGGCTCATGTGTGTGTCTGTGTGTGTGTGTGTGTGAGAGCCTAGAGCCTTTCTTGATCAAACTGTTTCAGCCCTAATGTACACCGTGCGTGGATGGGGGTGGGGGTGAGGGGACAGGTCGACGGATGGATGAATGGTTGGACGGACTGAACGCCGTTTCCTCCAGCTGGAATGAGAGAGTGAGTGTGGTGGTGAACCAGCGGGAAAGAAAATGAGGCAGTTATTTCCTTGATGAGCGGACGGGAAAAACACCAGTTGAAGGAGGAGTTTCATTTTCAAACTATTGGCAGCTGCCTATTTTTTACCCTTTACCTCCCCCTCCCTCCTCCCCCATCCCATCCCATCCCCTCGCCTCCCTCCCTCCTTAACTCCAGCTGCAAGTTGTAAGGTTTAGGAAAACCATGCCACACAAAGCAGTGATGACAAACTGATTGCGCTCTGAGAGTTATGGGAGGGTTGCAAATTGTAGGTCTTGATTAGAACTTTTTCTGCTCTTTTATTTGACTGATTTGGTCTTTGAAACAAGAAAATGATGTGCAGGTTTGGGTCTTGTTACCCAAACCAAAATTACGCAGGCCCGCTTCACTATCACGATTAGTTTTTTCCAAACTAATAAGACCGTAAAGGAATAATGTGCATATTGGACTTCAAACAGGATCCAGTGCACTCTTTCTGCCCCAAAACACCTCCCCGCCTCCTCCTCCTCATCATCATCACAGCCACACACACTTCCTGCCGCGGTGTCGCGGCGCACTCAGCCAGCTAAAAAGAGGAGTTGTTTTGCCAGCTTCATTAGCGTTCTCCTAATTAGCCGAGCATCTGATGGATCTTTGACAGGCCTAATGATTGGAGATGACAAGCTCCACACACCGTCACGCTCTCCAATTAGGTCTGCAGCATAGCTCGATGTAATCAACTTGATCTTACATCGTCCTCATTTGGCCTTTACTCCACCCCTCCTCCTTCCTCGGCCCTGGCACAGGTGAGGGTTCCGACTACCAAGGAGGAATCGGGTCTTTGTTAAAGCCTCAGGAAGCTTGGTTGGTGGATTTATTATTTCAGTGCTTCAAACAGAAAAAAGACAAAGCTCAACATCCTTTTTTTCAATGGGCTTCAAAGCCCAACAGACCAAACAGGTGGTTGTTTGTGGACAGGAAGATGTACCGTCAGACATCCGGTTTGTTTCAGCGCGGCTTTTGTCCTGAATCCTTTCTCTGAGAACAGAAGGGTGTTTAGTGAAGACTCGCCACAGCCCCATGGGCGAGAGGAGGTCCTTCTAGGAGACCAGCGAGGATGGATGACGTTGACACAGGTCATTATTAGCTACTCAATGACACGTTCCCCTACACAGAAGATTTTTCACCCACGATGATTTTCTAGAAACACCTATCATCAGCATGGTGTCCGAAAGGGCTAAGCATGATTTATGTAAATATTAACATCAAGACAGATTTGCTTCTGTCCAGCAGGAGATAGATGGCAGCCGATGGGGGAAGCAGCTGATTTCTGTGATTTCTCTGCCTTTTAGTGTGTGTGTGTGTGTGTGTGTGTGTGCATTTGGAAGTGTGTGTGATTGATTGTAGATGAGAGCCAGAGATTAATCATGCTTGATGTGTTAACGTTGCACTCGCAGTGGATCTGAGTCGAGATGCAGTGGCCCATTTAAATATACTCACTCACACAGATTCACAGGAGGGCGCAGGGACACACACACACACACACACACACACACGCACGCACGCACGCACACACACACTCATGTTCATTCTGTTTGGCTATGGACACTTTTCCAAAAGAGAAACAGGACATGTTCAATGGGAACGGCACTTGAAACAATAAAATCATGTTTTTGAACAGATTGAATCGCAGCTATTTTGCGTCAGCGTTGTTTTTTATTCCAACGCTTAACATGAAGAAGCTAAACTCATGCAGCTTACAGGGATCACTGATGAAGACGATGGAAAAAGCCACCAACAGCACACGAAGCTGATCAAAAACACACCTTCAGTATTTAAATGTTAACCCCACTCATGCTTTGTCGCACGGTGTCCAGGAAGTTCCTTTCACACAGCGAGTTCATGTCCTAGCATTGCTACTCCGGAAAAAACAAGCAGTGCACAGACTCCCTCCAGATCCCTGCAGCAGCTCTTCTCTACCCTGTTAGCAGCTCTGTGTCCACGCTCTTTCATGTTAGAGATCAATCAGACATTCACTTAATTAGCTGGTTTCTGCAGTAATTCATGCATATTTTAAACTATTTGAATGTTTTAAGAGTATGTGCTAGTCTGTGTTAGCTCTATTCTGATGAAATATTTTTGCCTCTTGATTTAAATGTTCGTATGTTTTATTATTCACCACGAAACAGGAACCTGATGTAAAATGGTGGTCGTCGTCTACCTAACGTCTGAACTCTGGCTAGTTTAGCCTATCAGCTAACGTGAGCTGTCACAAACGTAGCGCTAGAGTATCTGGACATTAGTGATGCAAGAGCTGATGTCTGAATGTGCATCCATAGCTGTAAAGGTGGACGTCTGTAGTCAAATTAACACTGATCAGAAAATAGTCAGCTTCATACAATCCATCCCTCCGTGGTTTCTGTCTGAATGTGTTTAAATGGGGAAACAAATGTTTTCCAGCTCAGTGTGTACAGGTAACATTCTAGATGTGAGAATCTGGTGCTGAAGTCCATTTATGTCAATAATCTAGCTCGGACTGAGAGACCATCTAAAGCAGGGGTGTCAAAAATGCGACCCGCGGGCCGGATCAGGCCCGCACACAGTTTAAATCCGGCCCACGAGATGATTGTGTAAACCTTATTTTCAGACTTTACAATGTAAAGTCTGAAAATAAAGCTTTCATTTTTCAATTAAACTGCTGGTGAAAGCTAAAGATGTCAGGTACCAGGAGTCAAAGGCGTGCGTGAAACTGCTATAGCCATGTGATCTGTGAATCAGTTATTTGAATCACTGAGGAATCGTCTGGGTTTTTGGTTTTGTATTTCACATTTTCAAATACTCTTCAGGTGGTTTATTATTAATGGTGATGTTGTGCTTAAGCTATTTTGGATACGCTGTCCTCAGGCTCCAGCTTTGTTTTATGTTGATCGTATTAAAAAGAAAACAATCTGAAGCAGGTTTTAATTTATATACATACTTTAATTTTACTGGCCTGGCCCACTTGGGACTAGCTTTCCTCAATGTGGCCCCTGAGCAAAACTGAGTTTGACACCCCTGATCTAAAGGCTCAGGAAACCCTCTGCAGGTGTTCTGGATCCATCAGCTGATGAGAGTGTGAGACTTTGTGTCTAGATTATCGAAACATCTCACAATATTCTGATAGTCTGCGATTTAGAATCTGTTTTCCTTTTATCAGCCGTAAGCCGTAATCATCCCAATTATAACAACTACAGGCTGAACTATCCGGTTTGTGTGTGATGTCGTATTTTAGTTTAACCTTTTAATGAACAGTGTTGGGCAAGTTACTTCAAAACTGTAATGCATTGTTTATTACTTGTTACCCTCATTTTAAAGTAATTAATTACATTACAATATTACTGATTTTAAAATGTAAGGCACTACACTACTTTTGCATTACTTGAAGTAACTTTCACCAAAACAACTTCATTATGAATCTGGTCATGTGACGCTCAGTGA